TCCCACACAGGAGACCCTTCAGTCCCTGCACTTTCCAGGATCCACATTTGGGAGGAGACCCTTCAGTCCCTGCACTTCCCATGAAACATCTGACACAGGAGACCCTTCAGTCCCTGCACTTTCCATCATCCACATCCCACAGGAGACCCTTCAGTCCCTGCACTTTCCATGGCACATCTGACACAGGAGACCCTTCACCCCCCAAACCAGAGCCCCCCCAAATCCCCCCCAGACCCCGGTGCCCCACGTACATCATCCCTGAGCATGTTGGACAGGAAGGTCATCATGACGCTGTGCTTCCGAGGGTACTTCTGGCACAGGGCACTGATGGCCTGCACCACCACCACCTGCAGAGCAACACACAAGGGACATCACTCAGGGCTGCTTTTCCATGGAAAACATGGGGTTTTATCTCAATTTGTCACCAAAACGTGGGGTTTTATCTCAATTTGTCACCAAAACGCAGGGTTTTATCTCAATTTATCTCAATTTGATGAAGTTCATGGCCAAGGATAAAAATCAGCTGGTGGATTCTCAGAGAAACAACCTCCTGGCTTTGCTGGAGGGACTGGAATTTGGGATGGACTACTCACCTAATCCTAACCTCCCAAGTCATATTTTGCCTTGAAAACCCTTTTCCAATTTCAGATTTGTCTCATATTTAATTTTCTTATTAAAAACAAGAATTTAAGACCACTGTGAGCACACAGTGACTCTGCTGTGCTCCTCAGGGCATCTCCAGGATGGAAAAGAGACAGGTGATCCATCCTGAACCAATTTATTACCAGAATTTATAAACTTGAAGTATTATATATTTATAAACTTTAAAAACTAGGTAGAAATTTATCATTCACATTGTTTGCTAAATATGTATCAGACTGAAATGATACAGGTTCAACCAGAACAGTTAAAATCCGTCTTCCTCCCCAAAGAGGAAACCAGAAGGTGGGATAAGGTTTTGCAGGATATTGTACAGGAGCCAGGAATCCACCAAAGGACATTTATCCTTTCCTGGAGTGCTGGGAAGAAAGGACAGAGCCAGGAATCCACCAAAGGATATTTATCCTTCCTTGGGGTGGTGACAAGAAAGGACAAAGCCAGGAATTCACCAAAGGACATTTATCCTTTCCTGGAGTGCTGGGAGGAAAGGACAGAGCCAGGAATTCACCAAATAACAATTATCCTTTCTTGGAACAGTGGGAGGAAAGGACAGAGCCAGGAATCCACCAAAGGATATTTATCCTTTCTTGGAGAGCTGGGAAGAAAGGACAGAACCAGGAATTCACCAAAGGACATTTATCCCTTCTTGGAGTGCTGGGAGGAAAGGGCAGAGCCAGGAATCCACCAAATGACAATTATCCCTTCTTGGAATAGTGGGGGCAGAATCAGGAATCCACCAAAGGATATTTATCCTTTCCTGGAGAGCTGGGAAGAAAGGGCAGAATCAGGAATCCACCAAAGGACATTTATCCTTTCCTGGAGTGCTGGGAGGAAAAGGACACAACAAGGAATCCACCAAATGACATTTATCCCTTATTGGAATGGTGGGAGGAAAGGGTAGAGCCAGGAATCCACCAAAGGATGTTTATCCCTTCTTGGAGAGTTGGGAGGAAAGGGCAGAGCCAGGAATCCACCAAAGGACATTGATCTTTTCCTGGAGTGCTGGGAGGAAAGGGCAGAGCCAGGAATCCACCAGAGGACATTTATCCTTTTTGGGATGAAAGGACAGAGGATATTTAAGTTAGAAAGCAGAGCATTACACCCCAACTTCAACCTGGCTTTGCTCCACCAGACCAAGCCACGGCCGGATTTAAAAACAAAAACAACGGGAAAAGCTTCGTAAAAAACAAGAAATGGGAGAAAAACCTGCAGGTGGCAAGAGCAGAGGCCTCCAGTGGCACACCTTAAACTCATCTGAGATCTCTGACACGAAGGAGGAGATCTGCTTCATGAGCCTGTCCACGCTGCTCTCGCTGCCCGTCTTGAGCAGCGTGGTGATGGCCAAGGTGGCGATGCTGCGGTTGGAGTCGGTGATCAGGTTCTCCAGGTCCAGGTTGCAGGCAGTGACTGCAGAGGGGTGTTTCATGGCCACCTGCAAGCAAAGGCAAGCCCCAGTTACGTGGCAGCAACACCCCAAAGGTCAAAGATTTGGGGTGCGAGGCGAGGCTCAAAGATTTTGATGTAAAGCTTTTGTGAGGGACAGTTTGAGTCACAAAGTGCTGCTGTGCAGCTCTGAAATCAAGATGTCGCTTCCTTCCCACGGATTTTGCAGGGTTAAATAGCCAGCACTCTGCTTCCTCACAGCTGAGAGCTCACAAGTTATCAAAGCACAGCTCGTTGTACCCTCGTGGTCCAAAACTGAGCAAGCGCGGCCTGGATGCAGAAAGGATTTCTGACACCCCAGGATATCTGGGATGGGAAAGGCAATTCTCCAGCCTGGAGCAGCTCCAGATGGAGTAATCACATCATTAGGAGCTGCTGGGTTGCTGTGAAGGTTAAAACTTGGGGTAGCTCAGAGGTTTTGGGAGCACTCACTTTGTTGAGGGTGCGAACGGCCGCGTACCTCAGGACGGGCTTGGAGGAACTGCAGAAAAGCTGCAACACTGGGAAAGGAAAAGAGAGTTTCTTTCAGAGGAAGGGAATAGAGAGGGAAATCTAATCTATCTCCACTCAGCTGTGCTAAATATTCATGCAGCTCTGTGCATAATTCAGCAGGTTAAAAATAACCTCCTGGGTTTTATCTCCTGTGATCAATAATAGGGGGGTGGCAGAGTTGGCTGGGGCACAGTTGGGCATCCAGTTCTCTTCTACTTCCCAGGGTCTAAAGGGGCTCCAGGAGAGCTGGAGAGGGACTGGGGACAAGGCAGGGAGGGACAGGACACAGGGAATGGCTTCCCAGTGCCAGAGGGCAGGGATAGGTGGGATATTGGGAAGGAATTGCTGGCTGAGAGGGTGGGGAGGGGCTGGAATGGATTTCCCAGAGAAGCTGTGGCTGCCCCTGGATCCCTGGGAGTGTCCAAGGCCAGGCTGGAGCAACCTGGGCTAGTGGAAGGTGTTGGGGTGGGAACTGGATGGTCTTTAAGGTCCTTTCAAACCATTCCAACACTCCCTCCCACCCCAAACTCCCACAGCTGGACAAAGGCAAGTCCCCATGTGCCACCTGTGCTGCCCGTTCTCCAAAGCTCGGGATGAAACAGGGAAAAGGGATCCAAAGTGCTTCTCACCCAAAAACCCTTTAACCTGGGCACGAGCACTAAACTCAGGGTTTGGGTACTTTCTTTATGCTGTGCTGTCCCTGCTGTGCTTCACTGCCCTTTTTGGGGTGTCTGAGGGGCACAGAGGGCCCTGCCCCACCTGACACGGCGGGTGCCAGCTCCCGGGCAGTGCAGTTGGGGAGGTGGATGATGGCAGAGGCGGCTTCATAAATCACCATCTCGTGCTTGTTCCTCAGGCAGCTCTCGATGAAGTCGAACAGGGGACTCTCGTGGCTGCAAAAAGAACCGTTTGGGCTGGAAAAACAGCTCTACAGGATCACAGAATCATAGAATCAGACAGGTTGGAAAAGCCCTCTGAGATCATCCAGTCCAACCCTTGATCCAACCTCGCCGTGGTTCCCAGCCCATGGCACTGATGCCACATCCAGTCTGTCCTTAAACACCTCCAGGGATGGAGAATCCACCCCCTCCCTGGGCAGCCCATTCCAATGGCTGAGCACTCTCCATGGAAAACATTCCTTCCTGATGTCCAACCTAAACCTCCCCTGGCACAGCTTGAGGCCGAGCCCTCTTGTCCTACTGCTGGTTCCCTGGAGCAGAGCCCGACCCCCCCCCGGCTCCCCCCTCCTGTCAGGGAGTTGCAGAGAGTGAGGAGGTCTCCCCTGAGCCTCCTCCTCTCCAGGCTGAGCCCCCCCAGCTCCCTCAGCCTCTCCTCACAGCACTTGTGCTCCAGTCCCTTCCCCAGCCTCGCTGCTCTTCTCTGCCCCTGCTCCAGCCCCTCCAGGGCCTTCCTGAGCTCAGGGCCCAGAGCTGGACACAGCACTCAAGGGGTGGCCTCACCAGCGCCCAGCCCAGGGGCACAAGCCCTGCCCTGCTCCTGCTGCCACACTCTTCCTCAGCCAGCCCAGCAGCCATTGGCCCTCTTGCCCCCCTGGCCACACTCGGGCTCCTCTTCAGCTTCCTGGCCAGCCCAACTCCCAGCTCCCTTCCTGCCTGGCTGCTCTCCAGCCCCTCTGGCCCAGCCTGGAGCTGCAGGGGCTTCTTGTGGCCAAAGGGCAGCACCCGGCCCTTGGCCTTGGGGAACCTCAGCCCCTTGCAATCAGCCCATGGATCCAGCCTGGCCAGGTCCCTCTGCAGAGCCCTCCTGCCTTCCAGCACATCAACACTCCCCCAGCTTGGGGTCACCTGCAATGTGCTGATGGTTCCCTCCATCCCCTCCTCCAGATCCTCAGTGCAGACACTGAACAGGTCTGGCCCAGCACTGATCCCTGGGGACACCCCTGGGGACGGATCCCAGCTGGAAGCAGCTCCATCCCCACCACTCTCTGGGCCCTCAGCCAGTTCCTCACCCAGCCCAGAGTGTCCCTGGCCAAGCTGTGGCAGCAGCTTTTCCAGGAGTGTGCTGTGGGAGACGGTGTCAAAGCATTTGATCCACAGGCAACCTTTTGATTCCTGTTTGAGT